ATGAACAGTGCAACTGGGTGCATCTGACATAATGCTCTGTGGATTCCATTACAGTCACTGACCTTTTTGGAACAACCTCTGAAGCTTGTGTGTTAGGTTATGTGTGTGGCTCTTCATATAGCTGATCTCCCCGTGTGGTAACACTGGAATTGATGCAGACTTTTTAAAAGCTATAATGAAATTGAAAGATAAGTGTAACTTTATTCTGAAAAGGTTTTCCTAGCAGCTAGTTAAGCTATACCATGTACCAGTCAGCTTAAGCAGCATTTGGCAAAGTATTTTCTAGAGAGCTCTTTCCTCTTCAATCTGCAAGCCTGTATGATTGACATGGTATATGTGGTACCATTTTTTGTTAGCTATTCTAAATCAAAGTCTTTCTTAAAGAAGACAGCTTTATTTGGGTACTCAGAGAGACTATACTTCTGCTTCTCTTTTCTTAAAACTTACATATGTGCACTTAAAATGCTGTGAGGGAAAGAGAATGCTGTGCATGTTACAAGGCGCTTTCCAGGCAGCTAGCTAAGACAGACATGAAAACAGATACAGTCTGCATCCTGTCAAAATAACTCTATTGTCTTGTTGTCACCCTCCGAAGTACAAATGCACTTCAGTGGGAACTTGTGGAAGTGTCCTAAATGCTGCCTGGATTAGGAGATGAAAGTGAATCTCAAGCGTTGTTTACAGTAACTGTTATTTCTACCCCAGATAATTGATTTCTTCTTTTATTACAGCTGCCAGGTACTGCAGCATGTTAATTGAAGAGGGTGGCTTACAGCACTTGTACAACATTAAGGAAAATGTCCAGACTGATCCACATGTCCAGAGGATTGCTATTGCCATCCTGGACAGTTTGGAAAAGCACATTATGCGTCATGGGAGGCCACCTCCATGTAGAAAACAGCAACAAAATAAACCAAACTGAGAGCTGCAGGTATAAGAGTGTAAAGTATTGTCTCTGTAATATTCCCTTCTGATGTGTGTGTAGTTGGAGTAACATGTAATATAGTGGTCACCATTAAAGTGATTTGCCTATAATTGTGGTACCCAGAGCCATGTATGGTAACCTTTGGTGAATGTCAACTTTAATGGCAACCACATATGCAACTTGTAAAGGGTCGCTGCTTGAGCTGGTCATACCTGTAGGATTACTGCTGTCTACAAAGAGACTGGACTCGTACAGATGAATATGCACATCTGAGAAGGAAGAAACCCAACAATTCTAGGAACACCTTGGGTTTTGACTTCTGGGACAGAAAGTTATTTCATCCCTATGATTGCTGTTGATAAAACTGTTTACCAGCCTGGTGTTTGAGTAGAACTGTGCGTGGTTGTGGTATTCAACACTTTGACAGATTTAAACAAAAGTTCCTGCATGCAAGTTACAAACAAGACTTGTATCTAAGGCGACCAAAATGCCCATCTTCTCATAACCCTTCTGAACATGAGGACTTCAGCCTCCTTTTTCTTTTGTCTGCCAGCTGTGTTCTTTTGTTTTCCTTGCTGCTCAGCCTTTGCCTTTTTGAAATTCAGCTCTCCCGAGTCCTCTGCACTCTCAGTAAGGTTGGGATCAGCACTGTGTCAGGGAAAATGGAAACTTGCTCAAATAAAGCAATAGAAACAAGTTTGATAGGAGACACTAAAAGAATGAGCTAAGCTTGAGATTTTAAACCTGCTAGCATGAAGGGGATTTTGCTGTTTGACTACTTTTGGTTGTGTGTGGGATCTTTCTTCTCTGTTTGGAAAAACTGATAGGGAACGAGAAGGCTCGTTAGAGTGAGATGTTCTCATCCTGAAAGGGATTGCATGTCTTAGCAGGAGGCCTGGGATGTTTGGTCACCTTATTTATAAGAGACTAATGATTGTTTTCTGTAAATACTCTGTTAGTATTGTGCAGTGAATTATATTTCCAAGTCACCACAGTGCAAAATATCACCCAGTGTTCTGTGTAAAACCCACGTCGATTGCATTGCTTTGTGAGGTGTGAAATTTTACATAAAGATGCTCATTGTAACAATTTATTTCTTGGTTACCTGTGGGTTTCAAATGATGTGTTGAATGAAACGTATTGCACAGCATATGGATGCCTGATAAAATACAAGTGATGAAAGCAAACTGCATGTCGATTCAAACTCACTTTTATTTCATGAATTGTTTCTGTTTGTCAGGTTAGTCTCCATGTTTCCACAGGAACTGACTGATATTCTTAGACTGTTTTGTAAATACATCGGTACTTCAGTTAAAAAAAACAACTTGTTTGATAGTTTATGAGCAGGGATCACTACTTCAGGATGACCATGTTTTACTATTTTAAACTCTTCCCCTTCCTCTCCCTCCTAATTCTCATCCTTCAAATAAAAACATCACATCCATTATTCAGTTATCTAGTTATTGTGTACTTCAGCAACTTCAAAATGAAGTGAGCTAGTAACTCTCATAGTCATGTTGTGTAAATGCTATTTGTGTGAAGGTATAATTTGGCTCGCATGTTTTTTATACTGTTTTCTTGATTCAGAAAGAAATTGATTTCACCTTTGAATTACAAAGGTGGTTTAAAATAATGATCTGCAAATTTTGTATCTACCACCCTTCTGGGATGTCTGCTATCAGGCTTCTGTGGTGAAAGTTTTATTACTTGAAATGGCATGCACAACCCATCAGAATTGGTGTTAATGGAATGAATGTGAATTGGTTGGTTCCATGAGAATCTAAACCAAACACGACAGCTCTTCAGTACAGTAACTGTAAGCTCTTTCCTAATAGCAGGAGAAATTGGTGCAACATCCTAACTAAATCTCTGCTATCATGTGCTGACAAAATGAATCTGATGCAGGCATTGGTCCAGACTGTGAAGATGTTGCTCCGTGAAATTCTATAGCCAGAGAATTGTAAATGGTTTTCTGTGCCCTTCTTGTTTTGTTCTCATTTGCTTCAGGTTAACAAACAGCAGAACTAGAAAAACATGAATGGCTGCAAGCTGTAAACTTACTAAACAGAAAATTTACTTGCATGTGCCACTTACAGAAAAGACTCTTCATGTTGCTGTGCAGCTTCAGGAGTTCCTGTCAGGTTACAGTAATTCTGGAGGCCAGTGGCATTTATTTTTTTGTGAAGGCTGAAGATAATGCCTCTGCTTTACCTTTGCAGACCATTACAAAGGAAACTTGTACTGTCTAATCTAGTAAGGTTACCTCTCTTACAGTATTGTTAAGTTCTGGTTTGATTCAAGACTGTAAAGACAATTTCTAATATGGTAAGTTGCATTTTCTTAGTATGTTCTGATAACCTCTCATGTGTTTGCTAAAAGCTTATTTATTAATTCACTTTTGCTTGAAGGCTGCAGTCTGGGGAAGTTGGAAGCAACAGAGCTACACTGAGTGCATGTCTGAATGCTGGAAGAGCACTGATAATGAAAGCAACCTTTGGGAAGTTTTATTTCTTTGTAAATTGTCAAGAGAACAGATTTTTTTTTAATCTCATGTTTAGATGCAGTATATTTATAGGCCAGTTTCACAGATGATTTTTGCCAGAATGACTTCTACAATACTTTAACCCACTGTGATAAATTTTCATCAAGAAAGAAAAGGAAAAATTAAAGCATACTGTTGCATTGCAGAAGCCTACCAAGTATTTAACAATCCTTTTCTACCTTTTTGTTTTGCCTTTAAATTTGCTTGTGGAAAGTCAAAGCTTCTCCGTGTTCTTTGACATCTTTGAGAGCTGTGACTGCTGACAGGGAAATTTTGTGCTGAGAAGCAAAGACCAACTTGCAGAGTGCACAGCTGGCAGCCACTGCTTTGTGTACAGGGAAGTCAGGGACTCCTCAGTACCAACAAAAAACTGCAGAGTAATTTGAAAATCAGGCTTTTATCTGCATTATGAGTTCTATGACTGCTTTATAGATACTTATACTTACTTTGTTCAGTCTTCTGAGAGCTGTTCTAAAAGCAGTTGTTTTGAACTCAGAAACAGGGCCTTTTATCTTTCTTTATAATCAGGCTCTGTACATAAGCAATGGGTGAATTAGAATGTCTAATTTATCTATTTTTTGCTTGCTTGAGTTTTTGCTGCATTAACACACAATCTTCTGTGTCACCAGAGCTGCTAAATAATGGAACAGAAAGGAAATCCTCAGCCACTTCTGACTGCCACATTCTTGCCTAGGCTTCTATTATCTCTTCAGCTTTCCAAAAGTAAACTTTTTTTTACTTCAGCTGCTAGGTACTGTAAGATTAACTGAAGAGGAATTGCCACATCTATGAAACAAAGAGAATGCCTGAAGAGCTCCTGACAGTCAGAGAATCCCTGCTAAGGTACTAGTGTAGGTTTATATACTTTTGATAGACTTAAATTAGCCACAAGACAAGCTAACAGCTGCAAGTATAAACATATGTTTATGAAAATACTGTGTTGCTTTGAGGAGCTCTTCTTAAAAGGCCAATCCTGTAAGATTAGTGTTGCCATCCCACAGGAAAGCATAGTTTGTGAGTCCTTGAGGAAGACAATTTCAGCCCCTCTTCTCTAAGAAGGAAGCTGGCCTCAAATGTTTGGACTTCAAATGCCTCTGTACTGTTAGGCTTCAGTTTAGAAATACTGTCTTATGCCCCTTCAGTCACAGTGAACACCAGACCCCTGTAATTCCCCTTGTAATTCAGCATTCCTCATGGCTGGCTGGCTGAAAGCAATCTATGAAATGATATCTGTGGTCAGGCTGTGAGTATGCTGTCTGAAGAGAGCAGCTCTGCTCCCCACCTTAGCCTACACCCACATTATTCTGCAGTCACCTACTGAAGCACAGAAGGAGAACTGAGCAGCGTGCATGAGAACAAGGTTAGAAGCTAGATCCATCAGTTCAGCCTGGAGGCAGTCCACCCTGACATTAATAATTAGTGGATAAATAAATAAATAACTGATTAACTTTTTGTTCATCTGGTTGTACTACCTTTGGGCTAGCTTATTTCAGATTCAGAACAAGGAAAAATGTACATTCTTTAAGATCAATGGGCTGTACAAAGTTAAATCTTTATTGGTGAATCCTTAGAGAAAAATGATCCAGTGAGTATTCAGAAATGCAGTCCAAGGCAAGAAGGAGCTACATATAGGGAGTGCAATCATAAAAATAATCCTAAGAAATTAGCAGGTCCTCCTCAAAAACAAACAAACAAACAAACCCATTAAGACAACAAGGGTTAAGCTAGGAAGCATTATTTGCCAATAAACTGAGGTGGTCGTTTTTCCCTGAAGGCAGCCATTCCCTCCTGACGGTCTCTTGTGGGGATATTCTGCATTAAAGAAATAAATATATATTTGGTAATGAAGGAATTACACTTAAGTAATTAACTTAGGCCAATTAACTTAGCAGTAGTGGTCTTGACCCTTTGCAGAGATTGCTTTTCTTAAAACAATACATTTTTGCAATGAGGAAAATAAAGAGGCTGGGTTGTAGTGAAAATCAGAGTTTCCAAGACAAAGCCAGCGATCAGTGAACTACCTGGGAGAAGTTTTCCATGCCTTTTAATACTGCTGAGAGGCACAGCAGTTAAATGGTTAACTGAGAAAGGTGCACACCCTCCAAATTTGTCAAATGACTACAGAAGGAATTCTAAACAGGCTAAAACTGTTAGTAAAACCCATGCTGTAGTTAATGTACTGTAATTGTATGTTCCTAGTTTCAACTTCAGGCAGAAGGATATTGATTTAAGGAAGGACTATTCAAGACAATAGTTGACAGTCTGAAATAAAGATCTGGAACTGTGCTTGGTTTATGTTGTCAAAGCTCAGGATTTAGCTGCTAGTTTTCCCTCTCGGAGAAGAAAATACAAGAGGACGTTGGGAGTATCTGGCTTTAGAAAACATGCAGTAGTTGTGGTTCCTTTTAAAAAGCATTCTGAAGGGAACTTACCTGTGCGTAACACATCCCCTCAATCGCCATCCCTGATGCAATATCAACCTGCAGACAAGAGGGAAGGAAAGGGACACAGTAAAAATTAACTGGTAGTGACTGGCATTAGATTTCACTCCTGTATTAGAACTGCAGTGCTATCATCTGGAGAATGAAACCTTGCTGTATTAATTTTGTCTTTAAAAGCTCTAAGAGGAGTTCTAAAGGCTTTCTTCAAACAATGATCATAGTTAACTGTTCTAAGTATTTTTACTGTAGTAATTTGTAAGAGCTGCTTATCCGCCTCCTTCACTGCAGTATTGAAAAGATTACCTCTATTCCTCTGTTTATTGCCAGTTTTCCCATTTTCACAGCAATTGGAGCCTTCATTTAAAAAAAAAAAAGCCACATCAGTTCACAATACAGAAGCAGTTATAGCATCACCCTACCTCCAACTGACCTTTCAGTCTAAAGCAGTCTGCAGTTAGTTGTTTAGCTTCTTCTAAAATACAGTTTAGTGTTACCTACAATCAATAGATTGACAGCTTACGCTGTGCACATGTAACCTGCAAGTCCAGGAAGTAAAAGTATCCTATGGGTTAAATAACTGCATGTTACACTTGTTCCCACAGCAACTGCATTCACAAAAGCAACAGAATTAAGAGACTTGAATATCAGGAGCTAAGACTTGGATATTTCATGGAAAGAGATCTCAGTTGTTTGCATTTCTGCTTCCCTTAAGAAAGAACATCCTTTACATTGACAGTATGAATAAAACACTGACCCGAGGAAGGATTTCTTTAGCCAAAGTTAATGCTCTCTGGTAAGCTGCATCTCCCTCCTCATTTTGGGGCACGGTGTGATTTACTAATCCCATTGAGGCAGCTTCTTGTCCATCTATCTGTCTCCCCGTGAAAATGAGTTCCTTTGCAAGACCTACTCCAATACATCTGGGCAGGCGCTGGGTTCCACCTTAGGACAAGAGCAAAAACACCATTTTTCATTTCTGAGAAATGCCCCAAAAAGCAACAGCACTTTGTTTTTTATGCAAGAGGGAAGTCTGAAAAACAAAGGGCTAACAACTGCTGGCTGAATGTGCCAACAGATATTCGACAAATATCTAAAAGTCTTCAGCATTCTTGAGTATTTTAATAAGTGAGAAAAAGAGTGGAGGGACCATTGATTAACAGTAAGACAGGACCTGGAGCAAACTCTAGATTCAGATACTAGAAGATGTTACTTAAATTGCATTCCAAACCAAATAAGGAGCACATCTCAAGTGCTCTAATGGCAGAATATCTATGGAACCGTAGAGAAAGTAAGAGGCTGAAGATGCAATGAAGGTTACCTGCTCCTGGAAGAAGCCCTCTTGTGGTCTCTATAAGACCCATTTTAGCTGATGAAGCTATTTAAAAAAAAAAAAAAAAAAGATTTATTTTATTTTTCTTATGTACACACTGTCCTTATGAGCTGTACTGTGTTTTTCCAGGTAGCTGGAAAGTCTGAACACTACAATGCTTAATGTCCATCTCAAGCTAGATGAACAATATAACTGCCACTTTAGGGGCAAGTAGCAATACTATACAGACAAATGAACTTCAGGCCCACAGGAGATAAAATATATTGGATGAAAGAACTGAAATAGCAAAAGCCTTACTTCTTCCCCAAGCTGATTTAAGTCGTGAATGTTGGATCTAGCCAGAGGGCTGACTCAGTACTGCCTAAGAACCACTGAATCCCCTGTCAACAGTTTTCTGAAGGAATCCTAATGTTGTCTAAAAGTATGCAAGAAAATTAATTCCCCAGAACTAACTAAATGTTTCAACTTCTGGACAAATGCCCACTTACTTCTTGAGCTGTGTAAGTTCTCTTATCCACCTACTAGGTTCCTGTAACAGCCAGCTATCACAAGGGTAAGCTTCCTTTAAAATGCAGTCTCCTATGAAGCAGCACACAGACCTGCAACTCGAAGGTCACAAGCCAGCGCCAGTTCTAGTCCACCGCCCAGTGCGTAGCCATCTATTGCAGCAATGGTGGGCACAGGCAGGGCAGCTAGAGAAGACAACACAGGTTATAAAGTTTTCTTCCCAAAACTATGTTGCATTCGCTTCTGGAATTTAAAAGCCTAAATTTAAAGTGTTTAGCAGTTCTCTATTCTGGTTGTTCTGCTGTTCTCACTGGTATTTCAGTCAGATTTAACTTTGGTATTTCTCTAGTGAGAATAGAACAGTTCTTAAACAGGGAAAGATATTGGTCCAAAAAAAGAGGAGTGGGCAGCAGCAGGTATAAATACCCTAACACTATCAAATACATTCAGAAGTCCAAGTCCCTCCTTAGGTCACCATCATATGAGTGCTTTTAAGCACATATTAAAATTGGGACAACTAACATCACTTACTTTGTCTAGCATTGTTTCTCAAGGGTTACATGGAATTCTATACAGAATGCTTCATTATTAGCAGATACTGATATTTATATCTGTCCACTGCTCTTCATCTTAGAGAATTCAGTAGTGAAATGTATCTTGTTTGTCAAGATACATGACATGCAGCAGCAGCAACATAGTTGGTATTCTGATCAGATCTCTGTATCAGATATAAGCTGGAGCCATGCAGAGAACCTCTCCTAAATGGCATCCTGCTGGAGGTGGCACCCCACCCCTCCCATAGAATTTCTGTCAGTCTTCCAGCTCAGATAGTCACAAACCAATTTCATCCATGAGATTTCTCAGCCTTTTAACAAAGTGTCCAACTTCTGCATCATCCATTTTCTCACGCTCCTTTAAGTCTGCACCTAAATCAGAAGAAAGAAAAAGGTGAGAATTTTTTGTTCGTTTGTTTGTTTTTTACAATCTGAGCAGCACACAGCCTTAGGAGCCATGGATTTTTAATCACAGTTTGCAGATCCATTACCTACCAGCACAAAACACACCCTTCACTTTACTCTTGAACACTACCACACGAACTTTCTCATCAAAGCGGAGCTGTTCCAGAGCGCTGAAAAGCTGTGAGGGAGAGGTAAAAAAGAGAAAAGCTTTAAGTAGATGGATGTATATACTGAAATCATAGCAAGCTTCTAAGCTATGCTTTTTTTTTTTTTAATTATTTTTAATTTCTCTGCTAGTGCCAGGAGTTTTCCAGAAACCACATCCACAATCCCTTTGTAACAGCCTCAGGATGTTTCCCATCTCCTTCTCATCTCCATTCAAAGATAGATCATTGCTGTCCCTTACACTCTCCTGCCTGTCCTGGTACAAGCCAAGCTCTTCTGTAAACTGTTATCAGAGATTACCAAAGCTCTGCTGAGGCCTGACAGTGAGCACATCTTTGCTGTGATTACTCTAGTGAAGACATCTCAGTTAGCTGACCTAACTCCACTGCTGGGCTGCGCCCCACCTGGAGTTACTGTGATTCAGACCCACATCCTTTCCCTCAGGATAACCTGCCTTGCCCCAAACGCAGCCTATGCCAACCTTCAGGAGATCAAATCTTGGCTTCATGTTTCCCACAGCTATTCTCATCACATTGATTAATTGATTGTGATTCCAAGCATGTTTACAGGCCAGGCCCATACTCACTTCATCTACAAATACTTTTCCCAAAGAATTTCTTGCATGGGGTCGGTTCATTAGGATTTCAGCAATACCTTAGGAGACAAGTTCAGTTATATTTCATTTAATCCTCTGTCGCATTAAATCAAGTGGGAACAATATCTGCATATGCTGCATCTTCTCTTTCCTGAAAATGTATACAAAGTATATTCTAAAACAACTGATGAATGTAAAAGTGGCAGTACCACGAAATATGGGAAAGTTGGTGTCTGTGAAATCCTGTATTCAAGGTGACTGTGAAATTCAGTAATGCTACAAGTAATATAAGTAAGCAGATCTTAAAAAGAAAATCACCTCCAAGGATATGTTGCAGAAGCACTGCAGTAATAGAAAAAAAAGTCTATATTACATTTCTGTTTCAAGCGCTACTTAATTCAGGTTTTATTTTATAGTCAGATTTAACTCCATCTCTTAACGTGAAAATAAACACCTTGTGGGAACTGCAGTTTGCACGAAAGTGACAGACTCTGCGTTCGTGCTCCAGTCAGCTCGCTGGGGAGAGGACTGCGCTCAGAGTTCCTAAGTCCGAGCTGAACAGCAGCGCTGCGATCTGTAAATCATCGGCTGCCGCTTTGGGCACGAAGAGCGCCCGCAGCCGCTTCCCTCTCCGCTCCTATGCGGCGCGGAGGCGCTCAGCGGTGCCTTCCCAGGGCCGGGACGGAAGGGCCGCTTAGGGCGGGGCGAGCACGCAACGCGTGACTTCCGAGCACGCTGGGGACACCGGCCCGGCCCCGCGCCAAGCTCCAGGGTTGTCGCAGCGGGCCGGGGCCGGGCCGGACTCACCGCCGCTCTCCCCGCCGACTCGCACCTCCGCGCCGCGCCGCGGGACGGCCGTATGGATCCCGCCGCTGCCCCAGCGGAGCACCGCCCGCCCCAGCCGCATCATGGCGCCCCTCAGCCGGCTCCGCTCCTCCCCGTCCTCTGGGGGATGGGCCTGGGCCACGGCTCCTTTAAGAAGGAGCCCCGCCCCCTCCGAGCGAGGCCGCGCCCAGCCGGCGCTAAGCCCCGCCCCTCCGGTCTGCTGTCGCTCGCTGCGTCTGCGAGGAGCGGGGTGGTTGTGCAGCCATCATGGGGCGACGGGTGTTCGTGGTGGGCGTCGGTATGACCAAGGTACCCGTGCGACCCCGCGGCGGGGGAGAAGGGGGAGAAACAGAAGGAGAAAGCGCGTGAACTACGAACGCCCGACGGCGCGTAGCGCTGTCAGTGCCGGCGCTGCCCGCTCCTTCGTTCTTTGGCCGTGTGGGGCGGCCTGGCGGCGGCTCCCAAACCTGCGCGGACTTTGGCCGCGTGTTTTTGGGTCGGTGAAATGGTTTACGTTAGTAAACTGGATTGCTTACAAACGTGTTCCGTGGTAGCTCTTAAGTCGTAGGATCACAGTACGTCTCCGGGTGGGTCGTCGAGGCCGGTACTCCCATTTGAGCGAAGGATGTGTTAAATCTCAGTGATTTGTTCTGTTGCTTTTTTCTTGTCAGTTTTCAAAGCCTGGTGAGAACAGTGTTGATTATCCCGACCTGGCCAAAGAGGCTGGTAAGTCAGCAGTAGAAAAGCATTTAGCTTGACCACCAACTCTATTTTAAGCCAGATGCAAAACGCACATCTAAAACTGATAAGAAAGACCACTTGAAAGTGAATCCCAACTGCCCTGCAGCCTTACGGGACTGAAGTCAAAAGGATGCCTTGACATTGAATCAGACACATCCTTTCCTATCTCTGCATGCTACTCGTGCTTCCCTGGGAGCAGCCGCAGCCTTTGTGCGTGAACACGGGACTGATTTGTTGGTGTTTGCTGGGAAAGGAGCTTGCTGAGAGCTAAGCACAGCACAGGCTTGTCCTAATGAGAGTTCAGATGCAGAACTTTTGGACCATTCACGTCCTATAATGGAGAACTTTCACTGCTCTGCTTGTTGTGCAGACGCACGAATCACAACGCTAAGCTAAGCCTGCTTGTTATGATTGTGAGAGCTGCTTTTTGTAAGAACTTTTTTCTTTTTCTCCCCAACTTTTAAAATTCTTTAGGCCAGAAGGCTTTAGCTGACGCTGGCATTCCGTATTCAGCAGTGGAGCAGGCCTGTGTGGGTTATGTTTATGGTGAGTATCCTCTTGTGCTTGGGACGTGTGTGATCTGTGACACTCACAAATGGGGGTAAAGTTCATCCACGTCTGTGTGGAGAAGTGAAGGGAGATCCCATCAATTTCCCATCTGTTTCACATAATAAAAAACTCCTGGTTTTTAAAGTCCGATGATTTGTATCTTTCTGAGGTTTTTCTGTTGTGTGTGGCTGAGAGATAGACGAGATGACAGCTCAGACTTTCAGGCTTGAAGAGTGGCACTGTGTTAATGTTACGTCCTGTGTTAATGTTCTGTCTTTGCATAAAGGCGACTCAACCTGTGGACAGCGGGCCATCTATCACGGTTTGGGTTTAACTGGCATTCCTATCATTAACGTTAACAACAACTGTGCTACGGGATCTACTGCTTTGTTCATGGCCAGACAGCTGGTAGAGGGAGGTGAGTTTTGCTCTGCAGCTGAGTAACTCAGGCTTTATTTCTACAAATATAACTTCCTTGTTCTGTTTCTTAAGTTCCTTTGTGGATTCTGCTACTTTCTTGCACCTGATTGCTTATGTTTCTGTAACAACAGCTACAGGAAGGTTCCCTACGATTATTCTAGTATTACTGGCAGAGATACAAGTGCTTGGTCAGATAAGGTACTTGTTCTCAAACTGCCAAGGACTGTTCTAAAATAACCCTAAGTGCTCTGGTGATTTGTTTAGTCTTCAGTAGTAATGTTTTTGTAACAGAACCATCCCCGCCCCACTTTTAAAAATTGAGAAGGGAGGAAGAACGGTAATGGATATTTATTGTAATGAGAAAGTTGATTGTACATATTGTCATTTATAGCTATGTTGTGTTCTGAATAGCCAAAACTTTCATTTTAAGGTTTGGCAGACTGTGTTCTGGCACTTGGCTTTGAGAGAATGGCAAAAGGATCCCTTGCTTCAGGTGTAAGTGTCTGAACATCTTATGTATCTCACTGCATTCGTGGATAGAAAACACCTCCTCACTCCCTGAGACGTTCTCACGAATGTGAGCTGGTTTGACATGCTGCTGTAGATAGTTACAAAATAAGCCTTTTTTTTTTTTTTACTCATAGAAATTTGTAACGAGTTTTATGATTCTGACTGCAGCTACGAAGTGCAGATTTAGTATGGAGTGTTTTAGAATTAATTTGAAGCAAACGTGATGCTTTTAATAACTTGGCAAAAATACATTTAAGGCGGGGTTAATTGCGAATAATGAAACTATGATTTGCTTTATAGCTATTTCTCTTCTTTTTAGTTTTCGGACAGAACAAATCCAATGGACAAACATTTAGAAATAATGATAAATAAATACGGCTTAGCAAGTGCTCCAGTAACACCGCAGATGTTTGCAAATGCTGGCAAAGAACATATGGAGAAATATGGTATTGTTAAAGACATTTATTTTCTCTATTTTCACATTAGGGAGCATTGAATATTCAAGTAGAGTCATCTGTTGCCTAGAACTCAACCACCTTTCTTAGAATTATGTTGAATTAAAAGAAAGCTTTGATGCAGTCTTTTGTAAAGTTGTTTGTGAAGTTCAAATTTGTAGACACTAATACAGTATTTAAAAAGTTAGGTTAGAAGGCTGTGTTTAAGGCAAGTATTCCAACACGGCTTACTTTCTCCTGCCAGGGACAAATCCAGAGTACTTTGCAAAAATTGCATGGAAGAATCACAGCCATTCAACCAACAACCCGTGAGTAAAGCACTCCAACTCCATAGTGAGCATACGCTGCCTGTACGCAATTCCTGCAGAACAGATGTAATGTTTAGAAATGCTTACAATGTGTTGTCTGCTATAGCTGCTATACATTCTGAATGCACTGTGTTCTACTCAGTAAAACAGCTATATAGTTAGTTGAATGATAGTGAGTTATTAGTAATGCCTACTTCTAAGGACTGCACTAAAACTCAGATGGCATCTTTGTTTTCCACAGGTATTCCCAGTTCCAGAAGGAATACACCTTAGATGAAGTTCTGCAGTCTCGCAAAATTTTTGATTTCTTGACTGTCTTACAGTGTTGGTAAGGAGAGAACTTTGCATTGGGAAAGAAATCTTGTTCAGACAGGTTTGGTAGTTCATCTATTGAAGTAAAGTTTGCTTACTGTTCAGTTAAAAGTCACAGTTCATCTTAAGTATTTTCTAATTTCTTAGATGTCATCCTATTCAAAGTTTGTATGTATGTTACTGCAGTGGGCAGTAATAAAAAAACTGGAGGTCTTCAGCAAACACTTGCGGAATTTGTAGTTACAATTGCATCAGTCAAAATGCATTTTTTCCTTTGTTTTCAACATTAATAATTCAGAATGGTGACATTATTTTTCTTTCCATTAGTCCGACATCAAATGGTGCTGCAGCTGCAGTTTTGGCTAGTGAGGACTTTGTGAAAAGATATAAGTTACAGCCTCAAGCTGTGGAAATTCTGGCCCAGGTGATGGCTACTGATTTCCCAAGCACATTTGAAGAGAACAGTTGTATGAAGATGGTAGGTTTGTGGTCCTACAGTCCATAATAACTGGGATTTTTTTTTAATACCTGCAAGTCCTAACGATAGCATAGAACATCGATCAGCAAGCAAGCAAACTGTGATTTGGGCAGGTGAAGTGGGCAAAGAGCATAGTTATGAAATAACACTGAGAAATAAATAAACATTAAAAATCTGTGTAATTATTTAAGGGCTACTTAATAGAAATGTGAACTGGAAGAAATGTAGTTTCTCATGCAAAGCTATTTGTTTAATTTCTCTGTTTATAAGATTAATAAAACTTAAATCCATTTTCCTTATGTTAATATAATTCTGGAGCTGGAATAACCTGTTGTTTGGTCATGAGGGGCTATGGTAGGAGATGCACTAAAGTGAATGAAAATGCCACCTCTATCAGCTTATCTTCACTCGCAGGATGAATAGCAGCACATTAAAATTAAGAGAAGGAATGAAATGGATGGCTGTTTCTTTAATGATATTTTAATTTCTTGCAGGTTGGTTATGATATGACTAAAAAAGCTGCAGAAAAATGTTTCAAAAAGGCAGGCCTAAAACCTACGGATGTCGATGTGATTGAACTTCATGACTGTTTCTCAGTTAATGAGTTCATTACCTATGAAGCTCTTGGACTCTGCCCAGAAGGTAATAGCATCAGTGAAGCTCTTTGTTTTACTAAAATGGAAAGTGTTAACAAATATTTTTTTTTATCTCTTCATATAATTAATTAGAGTTGTGTACTGGACAGATATTATAGATTTGAACACCATATTAGCTAACCTGGAGGAAAAGGCAAGCTGCCTGTATAGTAACATAAAGAAGATGTGCAAACTGTGGGAAGTATTTAACAGATTGGTGTATTGCTGTGATTTCTACAGAAGGCAAATTGGTGTGTTGGACAACTGTATGAAATCACACAGCAAGTTTGTACAGGAGTGGCTCTTCAAGCAGGAGGAGGCAATGAAGGGCTCTGGGATTGCAGTATCTGATGCAGTCTTTCTCTAATTTTGTTACGTGACTTTGAGAAAACATTGAACTTTTGTCAGT